ACGTTCATCTGTTTTCTTTTCGGCTTAGTGTTCGACGGATTGTGAGATTCCTATGTTCCATTTTAATGAGCTGTCAGCACAAATGTTTTCAAGAACTGGTTGAAAATGGAGTTGGGGGGCCACTTTATTTTGCTCCGCGCTCTAAGGATAAAGATCACAATAAGGGCGTTGATGACGTTGAGGGAGTGAGTTTGAGAATCTGCCTGAAATCACGCGGAGAAGCGATCCTGAGCCAAGAGCCAATTTTTTTGCCGAAAGGTGAGATGGTGGATGGGAAGTTTCTCAGTGAGTGGACCCACTGATTGTTGCAAGAATATATCGTTATTATGTCGCTAGGCGTAAAGGGGCATTTTACCGGCTCTTGTCCATGAACTCACGATAGAAATATCCTTAGCCTTATCTTGAACCTTGTCGTTAGAGTTGCAGAGCGGCATGGAATGGCTCCCTTCAGCTCCATTCCACCCGGTTTCGGGCTAGTTAAAGGACTTACGGGAAGCCAACATACAGTATGGTAAGGGTAGTGGCGTTAGTTACCTAACGCAGAGCTCGGCGTAAATTCTGGATCGCATTCCTCCCAGGCATCGAAAGCCACGTTCGAAACCTAATGCGGTTATTTTCTTATTACTAGACTTGTTTTTTTATAGAAAAAGTATCGATCTGTACATAATCTGGCTCAAACACGTCATGTGATCTAGTCTCAGGTCACATCACATTCAAACACCACCCCGATGTCGGGTGGAAGTCAAACGCGTGGCCCATACTGAACAAGAACAGTATAGGCCACCAGGTAGCGGTCATCCTTTCAATTGTTTCTCATAGCGGCAGGGGGGGGGAATGGGGGGGGTGATGGCAGCAGTAGAGAAGCGCACTTTAGAGCCGCTTCGGAGCAAGAACTATGTAACTTTATTAATTATTTCACAAGCATGCTGGGTTGTGAACAAAACTTTATTAATTATTCGTATAACTTCGTATAATGTATGCTATACGAAGTTATTACGAGTTTTACCTTTATTCTTTTAAATTTATTATGTTTACTACTCTTACTATAACTTATCACATACTTACTGTGAGCCAAAAAAAAACCCTCGTATTGTCTTATCAGCCGGCATTACTACCATCAACTGTGTCAAGGTCAACCACCTGTCCTTCTGGATGTGATTCGGGTTGGCTGAATTAGAAGTAAAGGGTTGAACTTTGTGATTCGGGAAAGGGGCTGCATTGACAGAACGTGACTGTATACTTGAAGGCTAGGACCCTTCTCCTCGGCCCTCCGCTGTGCAGCGTACTTGTGATTCGGGGTCGAGTTGGAGCGAAGCTCGAAAAAAAATAAAAAAAAGGTAATTCATTGACGCTGATGGCTACATGAACCGTAGTCGAAGTAGGGGGGGGGGGCTGAACTGTAAATATGTCCATGATTGATCCTTGCTGTTCTGCACTGCTCCTACTCATTTCTGCAAGATGTGAACATCGTTTTACCAAATCCCACGGAATTTTTGAGGTTGTAAACTATAATAGTTAGCTTGCTTGCTTAATGGCTACACGCTTATGATCCACTTCTTGTTGCTTATATTCTCTTTCCGTTTTGTTTTTTTTTTCTGTCATCTTTTGGATTTAATTCAGTCGATTATGGGGGTGGGGGGAGGCAACGAAACACTGGATCTGTAATTACGTAGCTCAACTAGGAACTGTGTGGCTTCCCCCCTGCCTCTTGCTGTGTAAAAGGAGAGCATCCCTGGATACAAAGAAAATAAACTAACAAATAAACAATATATTATCTAACATTTCCCTTTGTTCGGATTATAATAATAGGTTATGATAAGCCTTGCCTTGTATCGATTAACGCTCTCTTATAGGGCCTCAGAAGTATAAACTGATGCCCAATTTGAGGAGAACAGCCACGCAAAACGATCAATCCAGTCGTGTGCGCGTCCGGAGCCTGGTCATTAAAGAACGGTTAAATCTGCGAACGCGATCGTTGCTTCAAAAGAACTTCATAAAATAAAAATCATTGCGTGAAATCCGGCTTTTCAACGACCACACGCGTAGGAGATCCTCTGAAACCGGTCTCGGCCGGTTCAGTGTCAATTATTGCATGATCATTCAATGATTAATAGCACCGCTAGTTCAACACAAATCGAAGGATCCAGTCGATCTTCAAAGAAATTAAAATAAAGGATAAAGCATTTGCCGTTGATCAATCCCTTTTGGGATGCGGCACGCATTCTACTTCCATTTGTACATTCGTAGTGGCGTTTGAATGCGATGTGGCCTATACAATGACTTGCGGGGGCCAGCCGATGTTCAAGTCAGTGTTTTTATCCTCCCAGACAAGTCTGGTACCAATTAACCGACCCCGGAGGGATGGAAGGCTTGGTTGGCCCGGGCGACTCACGACCCAGGATTTGATCCCCGGACCGCACGTGGTAAGCAGCGCTACTTCCGCCCACAGAGAGCATATAGCTGTCCTTTCATCTCAGAAAACATCGCTTAAATAATCTTAAAAAAAGTCTAGATCAGAAAAGGTCTAAATAGTCTTTAATTCAACGGAAGTTTTGTGGAACAGCAACCAATTTCTTGTTTTGCATTTTTTATTTCTGCTAATAGATCTGATACCAAGGAAATCTTTGCCGGGATGTCCTATATCCCTCCAAGCTTTATTCTTGAACTTCACAAGGAACCTTTTCCCACCCTATCCAGTCTAAACTTTCTCGTCGTCTATGCTGCTGAGTCTGCGATCACGACAGGCCTTATCGGGATAGGGTGTAGTTAAGAAATCGACAAATAAATGTACTTTACCCGTCGAAGCTATTTAAAAATGGCCTGTAATCAACTGTTTCCTTAGAGAACCGCGAATTCCGGCCCAAATTGTGGTTTCACTATCCGAAATTGAAATCACAGTTTAACCCGAGAGCTCGTTGAGGGTTCAAAATAACTTACAAACAGCAGATCTTTTCAAGTACAACTTTTCCATTTTCAGATCAACAATATGCCAAATGGAAATCAACTACAACTGACTATTCATTCACAAGGTACTTTAGAATACTTTTTTTGAAATCATTTTTCAAGTGCTTAACACGTTGACGACAACGCGCGTTTTGGGTTTTTGCGCCGCGTGGGACCACGGCGATTTTGCAGGCGCCGCCGCCTCACATCAAATCCGTGAATTTTGAGCTTTAAATACCCAAAACTCGGATGCAACAAAATGTTTAGAATGATATTCGATGTGTCAAACTTATCAGAAGGGACAACTGTAAAAATCGATCGAATTGACGTTTTCTGGCGATGAAAGGCAAGTTTCAGTTGCTTTTGCTGCAGTGAACCTCAAAATTATTTTTGACGCGGTTGCTCCACTAAAAACATATGTCTTGCTATATGTGTGGGTCTGTACTTACTTCTACTGCTCTTTTTTATGACCAAGATTATCAGAATATAAAGGAAACTAGGAATGAACACAATTGGGAAATTCGTAGGGCTTAGAAAACCTTCGCTAAAAAGGAGCATATTCAACCATTCAATGAACCTCGCCGTGTCTAGTCATATTATGGTGTAGTCTATAGAATAGATGCAAAAAATTAGAAAAGAAGTAGCGCATGCGCGAAAAAAATAAATATTTTGTGTGTGCAGCGCATGCGCTGCACACGGTCCCACACGGTGCTCAAGGTGTGATGCGCATGCGCTGCACAATGTCGTCAACGTGTTAAAACCCATCTTAAGCAAAATCGGACCCAACTAATCGCGCACTCGCGCATCGATGAGAAAGGAGTCACGGTTAGTGCGATCAATAAGTGCTTTCAGAGGATCTAAAAATTTAGTAGTGCTTATTCAGGTTGTGTCTCGACCGGGATCGCCAGGTCCTGTAGCCGGCGCTGGAGACGTTATCAACACACCCCATGGTTTCACCATTCAACTTGATGTCAAACTGTTTCGCCCAGAACAAATTAAGGTAGGATGAAAGGGATAAAGTAATTTTTATTCAATAATGAATGTAAATCTCCAATCAAATCCATATAACCGGTGTTGAAAAGTCAAAAAGTAAGTTCTTAAAGTTAATTTGTGTAAAAGTTGAAGAGATCTCCAAAGTAGACCTCAAGAGAGCGCGAGTTGCAGTCCTGCTTGAGGGCCCGAATTCATGAAAAAGCAACTACACTGAAATGCTGTCCTCCATCTCTAGTCAAAGTATTTGATACGATGTGACGCATGACCACTTCTTGTAGAGCTACAGCAGGGTGAATAGATTTTCAGGAATCCTTCTTATAGTGTTTGAGTTTACGAAAGCGGGAGAGGGAGGGGATCAAATTCTGTAGAATCAGCCCAGCATAGCCAGTCATTCAGCTTTTCGATAAAAGGGATCTCTTTCTTGTCTCGCATTGAGTGCTTGGCTCGCGGGTAGCGGTAGGGGGCGAGTGGCGACCCCACACCGAGGGTCAATCACTGCGGTGGGTAAATTTTAGGTTGTTGGGGTTTACCAACGCCACCACCTCCCCGTACTGCATTTCCAATTCTTTGGTTATCCCTAGAGTAAGCTTCTGAAATTCAGTGCTCAAATTCGCACGAGATGTGGCCCTTCCCCTCGGAATGTCAACCCTGTATTCGCGATAATCACACTTTTTCGCTTCGAGTTTCCGAGCTCACCTTGCAACTATCGGGGTGCATTGGCAGTTCTCCCTCCTCAGGTGCAAGTCAGCCAACTTGACAACAGCACCGTCGTTTGCTCGCGGAGCAAGCTCACGGCTAGCCTAAGGCGCGAAATCATTGGCTCAAAGCATAACCATGCGTAAGGCATAAGCCAAAACCATAAGCCTAAACCCGAAGCATCGCGGCAGCTTTGGTGACCTACACTCACAAGCAAACTGAACGTCTCTCTTTGTATTCTGTGTACCGAGGGTCTTAAGGGTCCACTAAATTCGCTTCAGAAGCATTTTTCGTCACTCGGAGACGTGAAGGACGATGCCCTAACCCTCAAACCTACCCAAATATTTCAGGTGGTATTGACGGACGACATGCTATGTGTGAGCGGTGAACGAATAGAAGTTGGCAGCGGTGGTCAGACGTTAAAACGTTCATTTGCCAGAAAATACTGTATCCCTTCCGATATCCATTTGGACTCAATCAGAAGCCATCTCGATCACAACGGAGTTCTCATCATCACCGTAAGTCCTTTTAGTCCTTTTGAGCTCCTTTGTGGTTCTCTTATCGATACGGCCTTGGTTGTGTCTACTATTATATTGAAGGAATTGGACACGTTGACTGGAAAGTTGAGCGTTTTCAATGACGTTGATGAGCGCCAATGGTGGAGTGGTCCCGTACAAACACCAAGCCGCCCTGGGGGCCGCTCCTCCAAAGGTCTTCTATGACGTCGTCGAAACCGCTCCTCGTCGACGATCATGCTTTCAACTTACTTTAACCCTTTCCGGACCGCGCACTTTTTGCGCTCACGGCCGCATGCTGCGCGGCAAGCATAAATATCATATATTTAATCTGTATTCCCACTAAAGCCATTATTTTGTCTCGTTTATGTCTTTGTCATGTCTCGAAGAATATATAAGATTAATTTGACAGAAAACTGTTTTGCAAAAAAAGGGAAAGGGCCATAAAAAGGGAGGAAGGGACGAAAATTGTTCAAAATAAGTTGGTATGGAGAAAAAGGGAGTAGAACGTGCCCAAAACGATTGGATCCATAAGAATCAGATACGACGAGCAGGATATTTCACAAATTCTTCGTTTTTAAGTGTTTTCAAGCGAACTACAACTGTTTTCTTTGAGCCCAAAGTGGAAGTCCATTTACTCTTTGGTTATTTTAGAACCTAGATTAAACCTAAAGTCTAGGTTTTTTCATACATATGGCATGAGTCTGTTACATAGGTATGTAACAACATAAAATATTTTATCGAAAAACCAAACTCTTGGAAAAATCAGCTCTTGAAGTTCCTGACACACCATGTGTGTCAGGCGGTCCGGAAAGGGTTAAACAGTGCTCAAATATTCAATCCTATTTCGACTTTCATTCATCGGACAACTCCCCCTCGTTCCGTTTCTTGATTATGGAAGCGTTTCCTATTCCTTCCGTAATAGCAATGTCTAAGGCTGCTGAAAGTAGCAATTTCTTATTCAGAAGCCAATTCTTTTTTGACCATTTCAATCACCCCTTTGAAATTTGATTCATAATTAAAAAAGGGCGGTGATGAAATTAACTCGAGATGCGCCAAACATTTTACTTGGCCTCAGGCTCGTAGCAGTGTTTGATTGCGATTTGCCCTATGAATTATGGTTCTACATAGTACACACTCCCACTTTTTAATCCCTCGACCATGTTGAATCCAGTACTAAGCAAAATTGATCCGGGAAGAATGGAGGGCTTGGCTGAACTTGGTGAAATTCGACGGTTTTTTTTTTCTGAATCGTGTTGCGTCAGTGGTCAACGACGTTGATTGTCACTTTACCAACTCTAGCGACATCGTGATTTAAACGATTCTTCATTGATTTTCTGACACAGCCCAATTTTTTCAACATAATTCATAAATTCCGCTACGGATTGAGCTGCAGTCCTATTTTGGTTTGTGCCATTTTAGCAGAAGGCCATGAAAACCATTTCCATTTGGGAAGTTTGACAATTTTGGAGACATTTCTCTTTTGAAGCCTGGAATTTGCGAATGATTTCGTAAGCATAGCTGGGTGATTGTCGATGATGATATGCTTTTCGTCTGCATTCCATAGCGACGAAAGGCATATTTGTTATGGCCGTTTTTTGCATGCTTTCATGCTGCTTTCCTCGATCCGCCGGATCTCCCAGTGAGTGTATTTTTGATGCAATTGCATGTTTAGCAGACACAAAGTGTTTTGTGACAAAGCACCCCAGATTTTTAACACTTTGGAGACCGCGCGTGTTTTACGTTCCGCGGCCGCGGGGACTTCGGTGAGATTTTTAGGGATCTTATCTAGCAAATTCAAAAGAAGAACCCACTGTGTAATGCAGAAGAAATCTTATCGGATAAAATGGAAAAGAAAATGAATGAAAAACCTAATAATTGTTTCCGAAATGCGAGCTGAAAGGTCCTATGCGGTCGGAGGGCTGCAGCCCACATATGGGCTGCGTGGGCTCCAAGGTGTTAATATGATATGGAAATCCACGCTGCAACCTTTGGAAATCGCCCAAAAATAAGGAAGAACCCCCTTTACCGTGTTGCTGCTAAACGAACAAACCAACTCAGTTTTATGCTGGCAGGTGGAGTTTGCTGAAGGGCGAGTGTGGCTCCGGCTATATTTTTGTCTATACCAAGTATGTGTATGGGTGTCAAATTGAAACAAAAAAATCTCGTATGCACTTCCTGCTTTGTGGGCGGGGCTCTAGGGGTGGTGCATGAATACCAATCGCGTAGCGAGTTTTTGAATGTCCCGCATGATTTCCCAACCACTTTGTAAACAGCAGATTCACGGATAAAGAGCTCTCTTAAGAAAACAAAAAACAGAATGCTTGTCGGATGTAGTGTTTCCTTTGGAAGCCGCGAAATTATCCTCTCTTGGTGATTGAAACCGCCATTGTGTAATTCGATACTACTCTTGTTAGCTCACTCTACCTCTAGAGGAATTGCAGCTCGTGTTTCTTTTGCGCGAACCCCTGAGAATTCTACCAATAAAGCTCACAGATCTGATCAACAAATCCTTTACATTAAGGGATGGGAGGCAACAATACTCGCAGATCACGCATGAACGTCGATTAAAGGCATCCCCTTCCACCATTACCTGTTGCGGTATGCACTTGCACCCGCAACGTCCTTCTTGTTTTGGTCACCGCCTGTCAGTGGGAGTGGCTTTTCCCTCGCTCGGACCGGCAGTTAGGAGGTTTTACCGACAGCTGGAGCGCCGTCCACGAGGGCTGATCCCGCTGACAAGCGAGCGCCGATCGTCTGTACCTTCACTTCATTTAATCCGTTGTAACCGATTGATTAAATAAATATATTACTCAACGGTCGTTGAAGACAAAATAGCAATGCCCGACATCACCCCTCTCCACCCACGACCGAAATTTTATGCGGTTTCTGCACGCGATCGTGAAAGCAAAGATATGAAGTGGGAAAGTATTGAGAACACGTTGTATGAGTCCGTTCAAAAAAAACTGAGAGCTTTCTCATTTCTGTCATTCGATCGTGTAAAGGCAGCGAAACACTGAGCGTGGAGGAGAAATGGCAGACGAGATAGCACAACGAACGAGAGGACACAGACACTCGCGTGTTCCGGACGAGAAGAAATGGGAGGCGGTCGAAGTCGCTACGGAAATGCTCTAACGCCCTTGCACGCACATTCGAAGCAGGTTACCCCTGTCTTGAGGAACAACTCTATTATACCCACCAAAAGTGCGAGCCAACAGATTCCATCGTGGAGTGTACCTTTAATTTTCTATTCAATTCGATCCATGACTACTGAAAATGATCTACAGCCAGTCAGAGGCTCATTCCATGAGTTTATAATTCATTTCTGTGAGTAAGATAGACCTGATCACAAGCTAGGGATAGGTTAGGGCGAGAACGCAGCACAGTCGTGACGGGTGAGGTTCTTGCAAACGGAATCCCTAGATCGGCAGTATCAGTCCTGAGATAAGAACAACGAGCAAAAAAATCGTTGAGAATAATGCTTGATTTTCATACTGTTGGTTTGGGCACTAAATTTTCGGATAGCTTATATCTTCGATAGCATACCGTACTCTTCCTCTCTGTTGCAAGTGTTACCGCGCAGACGCTAAAAGGCAGCGATCACGACGGCTGGAGGGCGGTGCGGTTTTGATGACGTCATTGAGGGTCATTGGTGGACTACACCCCTCAAGCGCACTGGTGGTGTTGTTGAGACCTCACTCGGGGGGGGGGGGGGAGAGAAAAGCTCACCGCGGCGCGGACGCGAGCGCGTGCAGGTGACGTCACAGCTGCGACAAAACGGCAACGAGAGGGCGAGGTAGGAGTGTTGCTGTCACTTCGTTTGGCTGATAGAAGGGATACTAGCATTCACTAATTGATGCAGTCAGTAGTACCGTGAGCAAAGAGGTTGTATTGTGTGTAGGTACAATTTTCGCCGTCGAAAATTAGGAATATTTTTGCAAATTTGAGGAAATTAACGGTTTCGCATTTAAAACCCAACGAGTGCGCAATTAAGTCGAAGTTGATTACTTTAAGTTCATTCTTCGTTATACTTCTACTCACTGCACAGTGAAGTCAGAATCGATAGTGTCTAATACGTATTGTTATAAAGTAATGGCGCCTGTCTTGCCCAATCCCTCCCCGCTGCTGTGACGTCAAATTGACGTCACCTGCACGCGCTCGCATCCGCGCCGCCGGTGAGCTATTCCATGGAGCCGCCTCTCCTTCGACCATCC